GGGGAGGCAGCCATGTTGTGACAAGCTAGGGGTAAAGAAAGGGCCGTGGACGGCGGAGGAAGACAAGAAATTGATCAACTTCATAGTGAACAACGGCCACTGTTGCTGGAGGGCTTTGCCGAAGCTGGCCGGTCTCCGTCGTTGTGGGAAGAGCTGCCGTCTACGGTGGACAAATTATCTCCGACCTGACTTGAAGAGAGGTCTTCTCTCCGACGCTGAGGAAAAGCTTGTCATCGACCTTCATGCTCTTCTCGGCAACAGGTTAGTTTGAGCTACTTTTTACTAAATTTTTTTATAATTATAAACAGTGTTCTGAAACGCGTTAGGTGGTAGTTTCTTGTGGTTGGTTATTGTATAGGGTATGTATATATAGACGTTTATGAGGTATATACGGTAGATATATATTTGTAAGAATTATATTAGTGAAAGATATTATAAATATACAATGATACTTTAAATAAAAGATAGTTCAGTACTAACTAGCTAATTGAATCAAAGCTACATTTGTAGTTAGTATAATTTTATGATAGTATATTTTAGAATCATGAAAACTATAAAATTGATATAGCAAACATGAAATATATAATGCATAAAAAAATCAATTAATTAAAACCATATTTGCTTTCGAATTACAATTTTATATAGATAAATCAATATTTTCTACAGTTTTTAAATTAAATTGATCATTTATTATGGATAATTAACTAAGCAGTCTTCACTAGTATACACCTATATAATATATCATACACATGTTATAAATCTTCTACATATGGCATGATAGTCATCACTAGCTATATTCATATGATCCGAGGTAATGTAACGTTTACATATATTTATATAAAATTTTAACTTAAGTTAATTTTGATATGCTACTTTGTTAAACACAAAAACTATAAATCATATATTGACTAATGGTAAATGTTGTAACAGTGTCATTGTAGTGTACTAATGTATAACTGAAAATTATCATATGATTATATTGAAGAGCTTCATAAGAAAACGATATGATATATGAAGTTTCAAAAAAAAAAAAAACGATATTATATATATCTTAATTAAGTTACTCTTCTTTCAACTAAAGTCTTCTGTGATTTTATTTAGAAAATTGTGAATTTATTTCATTTTGAAATTAACTTCGTGACAAAGTAACGTAAATGTATAACTGAAAATTATCATATGATTGAATAACTTCATAAGAAAACGATACGATATATGAAGTTTCAAAAAAAAAAAAAACGATATGATATATATCTTAATTAAGTTACTCTTCTTTCAACTAAAGTCTTCTATAATTTTATTTAGAAAATTGTGAATTTATTGCATTTTGAAATTAACTTCGTGACAAAGTAACGTTCCTCGCTTCCCAATATAATAGTATAACTTAACTTGTCAATTTTCTTGTGTTATATTCCAAGACGCAAGACTTTGACATCTCTACCAACACCTCAAAACATTATTTTTCATTTAGAAAAACATATTCAATGTAACTAAACATATTTCTTTTAATTATCTTGATATAGATGGTCCAAGATCGCTGCAAGATTACCAGGAAGAACAGACAACGAAATAAAAAATCATTGGAATACTCATATCAAGAAGAAGCTCCTTAAAATGGAAATTGATCCTACGACCCATCAACCTTTAAACAAAGTATCTACCGAAAAAGAATCATTTGATAAATCCCAAAAGTCATCGAAAGCCGGCAATGTAAGGATAAGTGATAATAAAAGCATAGAGAATGATGGGACAACGACAAATTCCATAGATGAAAGTAGCACAATCACTAATCAACATAGTTCAACAGCTGAATATGAGTTGCTCGGTGATATTATTTATAAAGATGAAGATTTGCTTAGCATTCTATGGACCGACGATGAACTTCCTCTAGTTGATGCATCATGGAGCAATAATAATGCCGGTGTTGGTGGAGCAGCCGCATCCGCAGACAAGAACGATATTTCCGTGGGGGAGATTTTTCCGACATGGCAATCAGAAGAAAAGATTGGTGAAAGTTGGATGTTTTTGGATTATTGCCAAGACTTTGGTGTTCAAGATTTTGGGTTCGACTGATACCATGATTTTGGTCAGAGCTCCATAGAGACTGGTCACAAAGATTAGCATTTGCAAGCATACATGGAACATATACACTCAT